CATCACAAAAGTGGACAAGAGGCATTAAACACTAGGACAAGGGTAACTTTACTGTCAGTGGGAGTAGTATCCATTTTTCTCCATTAAACTTAAAAATTCCCTCACACCCACTCAACAGGTTCAAGATCATATTAACATAGGGGGTGAGAGATTACGTCCATTCAGCATTGCCAATGTAGGTTGTGGACTGAGACACGTATAAAAGTATGGCAGGAACTGCAATGAACCTTTGAAATATGGAAAAAGAGTTTTTTTTGTTTCTCACTTCCATTGGGCGTTGCAGCAGGAGCCATGAAAATTTTCTGAACAGCTTAGGTACTTCTGGAATTCCCACAGTTCTTCTCAAGCAACCCACAAATTAATAGGTCAGAGGGTCTATAGGTTGTCAAGGTATTCCGCGGAACTAGTTCCATTAAGTTTCATATATAAAGGGAGGGAAGAGTAGGTTCGTTTATCTATATGAATGCATTTGAATGATAAAACTATTTTTTCAATACCAAAGACAACATTTTGTGATGGCTTTAAGAGTTTAGAAGACACTGAACCCTAATCTATACACCATTTCCCTTTCTTGACCCACTTTTTGTTTGGAAAGCCTGAATCCTATTCTTGTGAGTAGGAGAAAGCAATATAAGATTGCAGAGCGTGCATCAGATAGAGAACCCATTTATCCACACAACATTGAAAAGCTTAGCAGTTAACATATTGCAGATTAGTAGAATGTGCCAAAAACAAGTATGATCAACACAAACCATGCACGGTAACTTTTACATCTTCTTGTCTGCTGTAACAGTTCAATGAGATTCTTCCACCCCCGCCTCCACCCCATCCGCTCCCACCAGCTGCACTTATTTCTCCAAATCCTTTCCTGTCCAGGTATCCAGTATTGAAGTTAGATACAGGGCAAGTACTGTTACTAGCTATTCAAATTGTACAATAGAATGAGAAAAAGCAGCACTTTAAGACTGAAATCAAGCCAAGTTTACAGCTATATAGGTCGATATTTAGGTTCTTACAGACTCCAATTAAAAAACAAACAAAGTGACAATTGGGAACAACTAATCACAGTCTAAGCAAGAAAACAGGGGGAAAACGACAGATGCTAAAGTAGCAAACTAACAATGCCGAAAATTGAGTACACAGGAATCTCTGATTGCAATTATTAGCTATCAGTACTTAATGCATCATAAGGAGAAGATATTAAATAAATAAAAAGGTTGAATGGGAGATGAGAAAGGTTATGCGATGATTAAAAGAACTTGCAAATTGACTATGCAAAATCAGATGTAAGGTGGGGTTAACTAGAAAAGTTTTACTAGATACCATCATCTTGGTGAAAAGAGAAAGAGAAGTACCCTTTTAATATGACAGTGAATCTGTGAAAGAACATTGTTAGACAAGCGAATTACTTAAGTTACATAACTAATTTAATTAAATAATGCGCCTATCTAACAGCTTAGACTTTTAAGTCCCCAAAATTTCCACATTTTAATATGACAGTAGAGCAAGCACAATTCTTGCTTTCAAGCCTCACTCCATTGCACATCAAGATATTCTCATGTACACGAGAGGGAGAATGTTGATGTCTCAATTTGATAAATAAATGTGGCCAATATAAAATAAATTAAGGGGTCATTTGGTTCAGTTATGAGATATCCCATGGGATTACCCATCCCAACTCATATATGGGATAGCTAATACCACCACCACGGAGGAGGAGGAGGATGAGAAGGAGTATCACCAAACGGATAGCCAATACCACCATTTTGGTATAAAATTTATACCAGTATTAGCTAATACCCACAACCAAACATGGGATAACTATAAACCCAAATTTTATACCAGGATTAATATTCTTATCCCGGTAACCAACAACCCCTAAGATTCTTAATTTCTTGATGAGGGGATTCAGAGATTCAATGCTTTAACCAGCAAACAACCTTAATGAACAGCTTATCACTGTAACCAGATAAAAATTTCAAGAAAGAACAAACATCCCAGAACATAAATAAGGAAACTTGCAATATGAATACAATATTATGAGGAGTTCAAGGGGTTCTAATAATGGATGTGCATTTGCGTGAAAATTGCTTTGGAATGAAGAGAAATTCACAGAGCTTTCTGTTTTGGATGGAATAGCACTGCATGGATCCTACCTTACACAGGATAGTTTGAGGAAAAACGGATTCAGTAAAGGTGATACATGAGCGAAGGGATATGGAACACCAATAATCTTGATCTTACATTGTGCAACAGCTAAGGAAGTGTAGGACTTGTTCCTGAATTTATTTAGATGAAGTGCCAATGTCAAAGAGACTCAGGCCTGATTTTATAAGTTGGCATGGAAGGAAGACAATAAGTCCATCAAGAAGACATGATAACCATCCATGGCTTTATTTTGTGGACTTACTGACGAAGAGGAACCAAAGATGGTTTCAAGGAGTTCTTATTCCTGCCTGAAACTTAAAGTGTTTTAAAGTCATTTAGAGTATTTAGTTTTTGCTAGTTCCCTTCATTTATACAAAGGGGTGTCAGTATGCCGCCTAATTTAGTAATGGGATATACACACTGTTTTTGTCGTACAAATATGCATCTATACGGTGCCAAATTTAATAAAATTGCTTACCTTATCATAATTTATGCTATAAAGCATTTGCACCAACTCATGTATCTTCCGTTTTCTAAAAGTCATATTGTTCATATTACTTCAAACAATTAAGGAGAACACTGTGTTGGAAACTGAAATAGCTTTTTCTCTGCCCTGCAAAGCAAGACTAGCTGTAAGTCTGACCGTTTCCAACGACAGAATTAATAGATGCTACAGAAATTGCTAAGCCTGGGAGAGCAAATATTCGGACTGATGCTTCAGCTTCCAATGTTACTCTGAAACTACACACTGCTTCACGTAGCTTGGGCACCCAATGACAAAGTGAATACATGATTGACCTCCAGCAATAGAAGGTTTTTTTTCTGATTCTCATGTCTTACAATCTAAGTCCTGGTAGATGACTTCATCCTCATGTTCTGCAGAAGAAGAATTTTGGTCTTTAAGGAAGGAGAATTTGCCAACACACACTCGATTCCAGTTTTGGGGAGTGGTTTCATTAAAACCTGCATCTGAATCTTTTTCTTGCTAGGACGAGCTCAAGCTTCAAAATTGACTTTTTTATCATAGCACACTCTGATTGTGGTGCCGAATAGAAGCACATTCAATGGACCAAACACGAGGTACCCTTCAACTTTTTAGACCAGCAGCTATTGCACCTTTAACACAACCAATTTTATTTTTTTTGAATAATACTCTTAACTAACTTTAATGTCTTGACCAACCTTATCACTCTTAACCATTTATCTTCCTATCTTCAAGGAATAGGTGAGATACTTCAGCCACAACCCTGAAACAGATACTAACTTCTTATGGACTCGAACAGATTCTGTTATTTTTTGTTTGAAGCAGCTATACCAATTACCAAAACCTCAAGGAACTATTCACAACTGAAAGCTGTTTACTGCCCAATAGATGCTTTTATTATTTTTCCTCGTCAATCATTATATACTCAAGCATACATTGGAAGGTTAAGTACATTTTTTCTTTATAACATGATTTCATTTTTCAAGCGATAGGGTTCAAGTATGTCCGAAGAATCTTCCACTTCCTGTGCACGAGGAGAGTGATCACCACTGGATTCTGAGTCAATAGAGTTGTCAATCTATGTTGCTCAGATCCTTCAAAAATGTCTTCCCACCCCGGGGGGGAGGAGAGGGGTCTCAGATCCTCCTAAAATAATTCATTTTCGGAGGATCAGACACGGGTGCGACAATATTCTTGGAGGATATGAGCCACATAGTTGCGAATGGAGCCACTCGATTTGATATATTGTATTAAAGAACCGGTTATAACTTATAATTAGCTTGTTTTAGTCGTACTCATTGTGGATTATGATCCTTCATTGGAGGGACTTTAAGTTCAAGAGAACTTATTACATGGTACCATAGCAAGGTTCACGTTCCAACTGTCCAGCCCTAGGCGTACGGAGTGTGTTAAGTGTTCTAAGTTGGTTGAACGAAAACGCAACAACTGATATGGACTTGCACAATCCTCACCTCATTAGCTAGTTTTTTCGGTTGTGTTAGGTCCAAGGTGTATTTTCGTAACAGCACCTAGACTACGGTATAGAGCATAGTAGAGCATATCCAGTAGAAAGATGAGAAGCTTAATGCACACGCATTTAATGTCTGCAAAAATTGTTAGTTAGCAGGCATACAATGCACAAGCAGCTAAAAACAAGAACCTTAAGTACAAATATATTGCCATCACATTTTAAAAATTAAGAAGAGAGATGGTAACTATTAATGCATACTTTTCAGTCAATAGCTTTAGCAATCTGCAGCCTCAAATTCAATATCCAGACTATATGGTTATGCATGGGCTTTGAATGTTCGATTACTTGAGAAAAGTTATAGAAGTAAGTCTTAGATGCAGTACTAAGGAAACAAACAAGTGCTGCTGATTTATACTGCAAGTCCAAGCAGAAAGTTACTCACAGCTTTTGAGCATGAATAGAAATGCTTCCACCGGAACCCCCACCACCATTTGATCCTCCATCTCCCCCGTCTGCGTGTATGGATCCATTTATATAAAGGAGATCTTTCATATCAAGATAAACACGTCCACCCCCACTTCCTCCAAACTTGTGTTCACGAGAGGTGCCACCACCCTTGCTTCCATAAGACCATGGCTTTGACAGAGAAGACCAAGCATAAACGTCACCACCCCAATTATTTGTCTTGTTAGTTTTCAGGCAGGATGCACCTCGTCCACCATGCCCTCCACCAGCGCCATCATACCCAACTGGCGTCCCACTAGTCTGAGAAGGTGGTGCTCCTCCCAATGAAGTAGTATTTATAGAAGAATTGTGTCCCAACGTCAGACTAAGAGCAGAAAAAATAACAGAACCAGCTACCACAGTTGCATCTTGCCCAACTTTAACATTGCCAGACAAATTGAAACTTATAATGCAGCCTTCTATCGGACAGTAAATAGAAACCTGGGGAAGTATCTCCAAGTTTCCAGTACCTAACACATACAAGTCAGAATTTATGTACAAGTTTGAATTCAGCAAGCAAGTGGTATCAAATGATCCAACTCCTTCAAGGTCCTCACAAGAGACTGAATTGTTAGTCAAAACTTGAATTCTTGATTCTTGATAATAGGACGTGATATTGATTTCGGAAAAATGAATCAGAGGTGATCCAGAATAATGATCTATTCGCTTCTCAAATGCAACAGGCTCACCTCTATACTCCCCTAAACCAACGGAAAGCACAATTATGAAGAGCTGACCGGATAAAATGCACCAGTTGAGAAAGCATTTCTTTAGCATTGGACGCATCACCGCCCAAGGCAAAATAGACTTATAATCTCAAAGCATGAGATTGGACTCAGAACAGTTGTGTTGGTAAAGCCAGAAATGAAGACAATACACAAGCTCAATCGTCTCAATCAGTTTTTATCTCATCCAATTTGCTTCATTTCAGCACAAAAGAGAGTTTCAGCTCCCGAGCACAGTAAAGTCAATGCCAGCAATGTAAATACACTATCTCCACAAATGCTGTTTATCTGTTCAATTTTCTCTCTTTTGGCCCAAAACAGGAGTAATCTTTAGTACCTCCGCCCTGAGAAAATTACATAAGCCCCTGATGTCCTGCATTTCCAAATCACAACGTGTTGCAATTACTCTTGACCAAAGGGAGAATAATCAGAAACTCTACAATTACAAACTGAAAGTAACTAAACTAACTGACATTTCATACTTCGAGAGTAAACCAAATTGCACAATAATTTATCGTGTACTCTGCTTTAAAGACTACCTTTGTATTGTGAAGTTGTGGTAATAATGATACTTGTTACATTTCTCAAAATTAATTCTCCTCAACCAGGAAAAAACTACTCAAACAATCATCAGCAAAAAAGACGATAATTGACTATTCATCTTAGAGAAACAACTACACATCAAACCCGAACAAGTTGAAAAGTAACTCTTGAAGATTCAGTCAGAAATCAATAATAAAGCTGCTGCCTTTATATCTTATATATGCAAGATTCAATTAAGAGTGCTGAAGATCGAAGTAAAAATTCAATTCTTTCTGCAATGTACACACAGAATTCTCACACACTACACTACATAGTCCAACATCTACCGACAACATTCATACAATCATTTTTAATAAAGAGTCAAAGAAAACCCACCTGCAGATCACTATTTAAATACTACATACCCAATTTAAACCCTCAATTCACTAAGTTACACTCGAAAAACAAATTGATCACACAAAAAACAGAAGGTGAAACATCAACTGTATACAACACATTTATATACACTAATGACTAAACAAGTTCAAAAAGGATTAAGAAAAAGGAAGGTTTAAGACTAACCAAAGAAGGGAAAATTCAGGAGAAATTTCCACAATTGAAATGATGCAACTATTTTTGGACAATCTGTGAATGATAAAAATATCAGTAAAGTAAAGCAAAGTAGTGTATAAGTAGCTTTCACTGGCGTTTTTCAATTCCAATTTTTTTTGGTTCGAAAGTTTAGCTTTTAGCTGTGAATGTGGTAATGGTGGATGATGATGGAGTTGATGTTGATGGCTGCTAGTTTTGTTTGTATGGGAGCAGTGAAAATGAAGTGAAGAGTCCCCCAAAGAGAGTCACTGTGTGTGTGTGAGAGAGAGAGAGAGAGTTAGCATTCAAAGTGAAGCGAAAGGTGATTTTGAGTATGAGCTGGACTCCCGTTGAGATCCACTCTCACCGTTACGAATTTCACCTTTCCTTTTGCCTTAAACTCCGGAAATGCCATTGCTTTGCTACCTTAACAGCTAAGCACTAGCACCAGTTTGCCATTTTCAGTCTACACATTCTTTTTAAATAAATTACATAGCGGATTGAAAGAGGAAAAAAACGAGGGTAGTGAAAATCAAACACACACTTATTGTTATAGTGAAAACAGTAAGGCTAACTATTTTCGGACCGGTAATTGAAAAATAATCAACGTTTATAAAATCATATAGCTACTATGTTGCTGCAACACAAAAAGTTTTAGCATAATATACTGGAGATTGGTGCACTTGTGTATGAACTTCCAGCATATTGTGCTGGAACTCCATCACACGGAAAGTTCCAGCATAATATACTAGAAATTGGAGCACATGTGTTCTAGAACTCCAGTATATTATGCTGGAAGTTCACATGTAAAAAATTCGAACTCCAGTATATTATGCTGGAATATTTTTCGGATTTTGAAAGCTTTTAGAAGAAAAAATTGCTTTTGAGTAGAAGCAACAAAAAAAAAAGCTTTTTCCCAAAAATACTTTTTTAAAAAGCAGTTTAGAGGAAATACACTTAAAATTACTTTTTAAAAACATGGTCAAACACTAATTACTGCTCAAAAGTATTTTTTAAATTAATTAGTCAAATGTTATGAATAGAATTCTATTTAGAGTGAATGTCTATCTTGTAGAGAGTTTTACTTTGTGGCTAAGTCATTTTTCCCCTATAAAAAGAGGGGTCTTACCCCATTGTAAATCATCCCAAAATTCAATAAGAATTTCCTCTCTCTTTTTCTCTGCAATATTGTTCTTCTACTTTTATTGTTTTATAACACGTTATCAGCACGAGACTCTACCGTCTCAATAAGCCTTTGGGAAGACTAAGGTATAAATTTTCTCCTCTTTTTAACTGTGACTGATATTATGAAAAGAAAGTTCGTTGCCCTTGAAATTTCGGGCAAGAATTATATGACATGGGTGTTGGATGCTGAAATCCATTTAGATGCAATGAGTCTTTGAGATGCCATTAAAAACAAAACTAAAGCATCCACCCAAGACTGTGCTAAGGCCTTGATTTTCTTGAGCTATCACCTTGATGAAGGGTTAAAAATAGAATATTTCACAGTCAAAGATCCATTTATTTTGTGGAATGGATTAAAGGAAAGATATGACAACTTAAAGTTGGTCACTGTTCCGCAAGCACGATATGATTGGGCTCATCTGAGGCTCCAAGACTTTAAGTCTGTTTCTGAATATAATTCTGCGATGTTCATAATTACTTCTAAATTGAAACTCTGTGGAGATACTATCACTGATTATGATATGCTTGAAAAAATGTTTACAACGTTTCATGCATCCAATATGGTCCTACAATAGCACTACAGAGAGAAAAGTTTCAAAAATACTCTGAGTTGATTTCTCTTCTCCTTGTGGCTGAACGAAACAATGACTTGCTCATGAGAAATCACGAAAATCGACCCACCAGGTCTACACCATTGCCTGAAGTGGATGAGGTGTATTCTCATTATGCTAAGCGTGGAAAAGGTCGTGGTCATGGTCGTGGCCGTAGACAAGGAAGAAATTTTCCTGGTGTTAATCACCCTCCAAAGAGAAATAACCACCAAAAGTGGAAAAGGGCATTGGGCAAATATTTGTCGTGTACCAAGACATTTGGTTGAGCTTTATCAAGCATCTCTAAAGAATAAAGACCCTAAAGCTAATTTTGTTTATGACAATGAATTTGACATCACCCACTTAGATGTGGCAGACTTCTTTGAGCGCCCTGATGGAAAAATAGACCACTTGATCGGTGATGGATCTGTGGTTAAAAAAGATTGAATAGTTTGATTTTGCTTATTTGTATTAGCTAGTGAATAAACATCATGTAACCATAGTTCTTTACATGAGTAGTAGTCATTAGTATTATTTATTTTATAAAATAGTATAGCTCATAGAAAAAGCGTCATCTTAACTTTAGTAATGAATTTTCTGAAAATATAGATGATGATTTCACAACTAGTGTTTATGTGTTCTAATATGATAACACTGTCAGATAATGGTATAAACTGAGATGTTTGCTTGCAATTAACGTGACTCATCGTTTTTTTTATTGTGACTTGTATAATACAACTCTAAAGTTGTAGTATTTAAAAACAAATATTGTTACCATTACATTGTTGTGTGATTAAATAAGTAGGTAATTTGGTTTTATTAATACTTAATGCAATTTAAATAAATCATAGTAAATATTGTTTCAAATCGGAGTGTGCATGTGATATTTGATACATGACATTATCATGTTTAACCTATAAAGTAATTATAATATGATGTATATATATTGTCTATATTTTAAAGAAGTTTTTAAAATTAATAGCAATATTTTTTTTATGCAATTCTTAATTAATGCTTGATTGATGAACAATGACTTAATAGAATATATAAACACATTCATAAACATATTCACATGCACGCATGCAGCTCTGTGTGTATGTAGAATAATTAAAGAAACAAAATTAAAAATACAAAACAACTGTATAATTTTTATTTGCTTGACAACTATATTATCAATGTTTGACTTGTCTTGTTGTAATTAAGCTGTTATTTTGTTATTAACAGTCATATGCATAAAAATTATGTAAATAATAACATACTCACTGAATAGTTCATAGTACACTATTAGTTGCGTAATTGTTATTAAGATGTCATTATTTATCATAGGTTTAACTTTGTTTTCTTCCCATTTTCTCTGAAAATACTAACGCTTATTCGTATATTTCTTTTGTATGTCAAAATATGGGAAGTAAATATGGATATCTCACAAAGCAAATATGGATCAACGTTCAATTGTAAAAATATTTGTTTAGTTGATTCATGTACGACACATATAATATTTAAAGAGAAGAAATATTTCTCTCATTTAAGTATGTGTAAGGCAGATGTTACTACAATTTCTGGTAGTAGTAAATTAATTGAAGGCTCTGGAAGAGCTACTATAACTCTGCCTAAGGGAACAATACTTATCATAGAGAATGCAATGTTCTCCTCCAAGTCCAAGAGGGACTTGTTGAGCTTTAAAGATATCCGCCGAAATGGATATCATATTGAGACAATCGATGAGAATAATCTTGAATATCTTATCATTACCAAGAATGTCTCTGGCCAAAAGAGGGTTATTGAGAAGTTCCCGTCTTTATCTTGTGGCATATATTGGACAAGAATTAGTGCAATTGAGGCACATTCTACCGTAAACCAAAAGGTTACTGATTTCAATACTTTTGTACTTTGGCATGATCGATTGGGACATACTAGATCAATTATGATGAGACGAATTATAGAAAACTCAAATGTGCATCCATTAAAGAATTTAAAGATTCTTTTAAATAATGAATTTTGATAAGTTAATTATTAGACCATCACCAACAAAGATTGGAATTGAGTCCCTTGCGTTTTTGGAACGTATACAAGGGGACATTTGTGGACCTATTCACCCACCTAGTGGGTCGTTTAGATATTTTATGGTTTTAATAGATGCATCTTCTAGATGGTCTCATGTGTGCCTATTGTCATCTCGCAACCTCGCATTTGCAAAATTAATGGCACAAATAATTCGATTACGGGCACAATTTCCCGATAATCCAATTAAGTCTATCAGACTCGATAATGCTGTTGAGTTTTCATCCCAAGCATTTAACGATTATTGCTTATCAATTGGGATAAAAGTGGAACATCCTGTAGTTTATGTTCACACTCAAAACGATCTTGCAGAGTCTTTAATTAAACATCTGCAATTGATAGCAAGACCGTTACTCATGAAAACAAGGATGCCCACTTCTGTTTGGGGTCATGTCATTTTGCATGCAGCAATGCTAGTTCGTCTCAGACCGACAAATTATCATAAATATTCCTCGTTGCAACTAGTTTTGGGTCATGAACCTAATAAATCCCATTTAAGAATTTTTGGATGCGCAGTATACGTGCCTGTAGCACCACCATATCGCACCAAAATGGGTCCGCAAAGAAGGTTAGGAATATATGTCGGGTTCGAATCGCCCTCCATCATTCGTTACCTAGAAACATTGACAGGGAATTTGTTTACTGCACGATTTGCAGACTGTCGATTCAATGAGACACTTTTCCCAAAATTAGGGGGAGAAGTTGGTGAAACCAAACGGGAAATTTTGTGGGAAAATCCATCATTATCTCATCTTGATCCACGTGCCTCTATTTGTGAAAAAGAGGTGCAAAAGATTATCCATTTACAAAGAATCGCAAATCAAATGCCAGACGCATTTACGGATTTGAAAAGGATAGCAAAATTACACATCCCTACAGAGAATGTTCCAATCCGTATTGATGTCCCTATTGGACAATCTTCTAGTGTCATAGCTAATGTGTCAAGAGCATGCCTAAAACGTGGAAGACCATTAGGTTCCAAAGATCGAAATCCTAGAAAAAGGTAAACAAATGATCAAAATGACACTACGAAAGAACCTCATGAAAAAATCCACAATTTAATAAATTCTGAGATTCATGAGAATCCACTAAGCCCGAGGCTCAAGAAAATAAGGAACTATCAATAAATCTAATCGATATTGAGACAAAGTTGAATCGAGTGGATATAGTGGTGGATTATGTCTTTACATATAATGTTGCATCTAGCATTATGCAAGAAAGTGAGGATCTTGAACCTCAATCTGTTGGAGAATGTCGACAAAGACTTGATTGGCCAAAATGGCAAGAAGCAATCCAATCAGAGTTGAACTCACTTGCAAAACGGTAAGTTTTTGGGCCTGTAGTTCAAACACCTAATGGTGTTAAGCCTGTTGGCTATAAATGGGTTTTTGTACGCAAGAGAAATGAGAAAAATGAGGTACAAAGATATAAGGCAAGCCTTGTTGCACAAGGATTTTCACAAAGGCCTGGTGTCGATTATGAAGAGACATATTCACCCGTTATGGATGCTATAACTTTCCGCTATCTCATTAG